AACAGGTTGGCTCACAAAAAGTTTTAAGAGATAAAATGAAAGAAAAGCATTATGAATTTAAGAAATTTAAATTGACTGGTATAACAGTAGATTTAGAAGATTATATAAGTTCAAGAAAGTTAGTGAAACAGGAGATTAGGACACCAAAAATAATGTATGAGAAAAGATTGGCTGAAGATGTAAATATTAAGGATTTCTTTATATACATTAAGGGTAAAGAGAATGTTAGGATCGGGGTAGGACCCTTGAGGGGTGATAAAGGAAGGCTAGTATCTGATGATTATGATATTGCTGGATTATTAAATTTTGCTGTTCTTCGGTTTTTACTAACGAAGATTGAATAAGTATTCCACATATTAAACAGTTGATAAATGGAAATAAGATCAGTCAAGATGACTGCAATAATTCTGAGATAGTTAAGAAAAAATTGGGAAGTTTAAAAAACGATAAGTCTCTTGGGCCAGATAATATTTCCTCAATGGTTTAAAGGAGGTTAAAGATTGGATATATGAGCCACTTACTATTATTTTTTGTCAGTTCTTGAAGAGTGGGTAGGTACCAGAGGATTGGAAGTTAGCTAATGTAACTCCTCTTTTCAAGGGAGGCGATAAAAATGGTCCCAGTAATTATAGCCCCATTAGTCTTACATCAGTTGTGGGAAATGTTTTGGAAAATTTGTTAAAAGATGCTTTGCAAAGTCATTTAACAAAGTATAGAATTTTATTGGATAGTCAACATGGTTTCACTTAGGGAAAATCTTGCCTTACGAATCTTTTGACATTCTTTGAAAAGGTTACTGCTTATGTAGTTGAGGGTAAGGGTGTAGATTTGGTGTATCTGGATTTTCAGAAAGTATTTGACAAGATGCCACTTAAAAGGCTCGTAAAAATTATCTCTATAGGTGTGTGGGATAATTTAGGAAATTGAATGGGAGAAATCAGAGGGTTGTTACAAATGGAGTTCAAACAAACTGAATTAATTTCACAAATGTGGGTATTTCACTGCTTAGTCTTAGAACCTTTGCTCTTTTTGATTTACATTGATGACATAGATGAAGTAATAGTCAATAAATTACACAAATTTGCAGATAATATTAAGGTCTTGAGTGTTGCTAGTTGTGAAGAGGATGCTGATGGCTTACAAAAGGATTTAGATCATTTAGTGAGTTGGGCAGATAAATAGCAGATGGGTTTTAATTATAGTAAATGCAAGATAATGCATGTTGGGTATCAGAATTTGAATTATAAGTATAATTTGGATAGGAATAACCTTAACAGTGTTATGAAGGAAAGGGATCTTGGTGTAATAGTCGATCAGGCTCTAAAGCCATCTAAGCAGTGTGCTGTTGCCTGTGGCAGGGCAAATAAGATTTTAGGTTGTATCTACGGAAATATTGAATATAAGTCTAAAGATGTTATAATTTCATTGTACAGTTCACTGGTTAGGCCACATTTGAAATATTGTATTTAGTCTGTGGCTCCTTACCTTAGTAAAGTCATTGAATTGTTGGAAAGAGTTCACAGAAGGATTACTAGAATGGTGCCTGGGATGGAAGGGTTGTCATACAAGGAGAGGCTGAAATATCTAAAATTGTTTTCTCTTGAAAAATAAAGAGTTAGGGGGGATCTGATTGAGGTGTTTAAGATTTTAAAGGAAATTGACAGTGTTGATGCGTCATCTTTTTTCATATTTAACAGTGATAATAGTAGGACTAGGGGACACAAATATAAATCTAGGCAAGGTTGGAGTCATTTTCAGCTAAGACAGTTTCATTTTTCTGACAGGGTGGTTGGCTTTTGAAATAGGTTGCCTTCAGATGTTGTAAAGGCAGTAAATTGAAGTGAGTTTTAAAAAAAGCTTGCTAAGCATATGAATGACAAGAGCTGGTTTTAAGATTTTTTTAACAATCATTTTAACTTATTTTAAAGAATGGAACAGCCAATATGGACCAATAGGTCCCATGTTGTCCCAAAACATTGTTATTATGACTTTGAGCTAAGAACTTACTGGCACAGAAATCGTGAGAAAGAGTTTATACCATACTTTTCCCAATAAGGTTCACTGGTTTATTGCAACAATATTGCTGAATTAATATCAATGCTAGGAGCTGCAGTCTATGAACCAAGTGAGTGGCGATTGATTCCTCCAAAAGAAGTCTAAAAGGTGTTCTCCTTCACAATAGTAACATTGTTCCAATTGCTCATTCGGTTCACTAGAAAGAAACGTACGAAAATCTACAACTTCTTATTTAATAAGGTCAAATACAAAGAATATGGTTGGCTACTTTGTGTAGACTTAAAAGTCCTTTGTATGTTGTTGGATCAACAGTACGGCTATACAATGTTCCATGTTTTTGTGTGAATGGGACAGCAGAGCACGAAATCAGCACTGGATAAAGAAGCAATGACCACACAGAGTCAGCCTGACACCAGGATCGAAAAACATTAAACGTGAAAGTTTGGTTGACACCAAAAAAGTCCTATTACCTCCACTTCACATAAAATTGGGCTTGATGAAGCAGTTTGTAAAGGCCTTACACAAAGATGGCGACTGTTTCAAGTATCTGTGTGGACAATTCCCAGATCTTTCAGAAGTGAAATTTAAAGAAGGGATTTTTGTTTGGCCTCAGATTAGGAAATTGACTTCGGATAACAGTTTGAAAGGATAATGAGGAAAGTTAAAAAAGAAGCATGGATTGCCTTTAAAGTTGTTACTGACAAATTTTTAGGAAACAACAAGGATCCAAATTACAAAAATATTGTGAATAACATACTCGATAAATTCAAGGAGTTGGGTTGTAATATGAGCTTGAAAGTTCAATTCTTATACTCCCTGAAAGTCTCGGTGCCGTAAACAAAGAACAAGGGGGAAGGTTTCATTAAGACATCAGGGAAATGGAGAAGGGGTATCAGGAAAGGTGAAACATCAGCATGGTAGCTCATTACTGCTGGTCATTAAAACTAGATGCTCCAGACGCAATACATAAACCACAACACGTAGTTTTAAGATTAAAAGACGTAGATTTCAATAAAATAAAATCAGGATGCATTGTCGTTTGACATCATTGTTCTTCCCTTTTCTTAAGCTTGTTTGTATTTTTGTTAAACAATGATAAAAAGTATTCATTGTGGTTAACGAAATAATATTTTGATCTAAGTATTTTTTTCCTTCCCGATTTGTAAGAATCTTTACATGATAGAAAAAAAGATGAATATTATTTTCGAAATCTGCGTGGTTGAATATGGAAAAACGGTTATTAAAACCAAAACAACTTTTATGAAGTTTAAATGCACAGGCCTGTGTTATCAGTAAATCAATTAGATCTGACACCTGTACTTACAGAAAATGATTTAGAATGATACATAGTCTAGAAATCCGCACACATTCACACACACACACGAAAAATAACCTTAGATCCTTTGTTCAACTCGTGAACAAAATTGATACTAACAAACCCAACAACAGTACATTACATTGCAGTTTGCCTTTTGTCTCTGAAACCAGCTCAAGAATTATCCACACTTGGACAAAACTATGCCATTAAACACAAAATTCCTGTCAATGTCAAATTCTCTCACAAACCCGGCCCTAAATTAAAATTGTTATTAAACAAAAGTATTTAGAATCACACAATACCAACGTCATTTACAAAATAACATGCAATAACT